TTGGCGTGGACCGCCGCCTGCTTCATCAGCTCGTCATAAGTGCGCCAGTTGCTGCTGTGTACTAGGTACCGAAAGTGAGAGGACCGAAGGCCACTCTTGAAGGCGTCGTAGGCTGCCCTATCGTCCGTATCCGGGCACCTCGAGTACTCATGACTGAAGCGTGCGGCATATTCCTGTAGGGGTTCGTCTTCTCTCTGCCGAACCGTGTACAAGTCATCAACTGAGTACAAACGGTCCGTCTGGATCATGAAATGATTCAGAAAAATCTGTTTTAGCTCGTCGAACGAGTCTACCGTTCCTGGTTCAAGACGGTAGAACCAGTTCAGAGCAGCTCCGGTAAGGGAGGATGGGAATAGCAGGCATTGTCCCTCATCGCCGAGGCCTTTTCATCCTACTGCCGATTAGAAGGAGTGAAGGTGTGTTAAGGGGTCTTCCACGCCGATGTAAAATGGTATTCGCAACGGCTGTACTTCCCTGTCCGGTCTGGACTTCTTGATGCGCTCGGTAAAGGGTCCTGGCCGAAGTTTCCCCCAGTCAGGCTCCTGGGACCGGGTTCGGTCGTCCTCCATCTTCTAGATTCTCTGGAAGAGCAGACGGATTGCGGGGTCTCGGCTTGGGATCTCCTCAGAAATATAGTCTTCGGAGGTTCTCCTTGGACTCGGTTCTCTTGCCTTCAAATACTCCGTGGGAGTTTCCGAACGGTAGTGTGACTCGGTGCCCTTAGAGGGGGCATACTCATCGTCAGATTCTGCCTCTGAACCCAAACCCTGGACTTTTCGGAGGGGCGATTTGTCTCCAAGGACCCTCATTCGTGAGTCCCTTAAGCGTGCGTTGATCCTGACTGGGGACCTCTGCCGTTCGGCATCCATGTCGTTGAGCCGATAACTTTGGGAAGGTTCTGTAGATTGAATATTCTGCGTTTCCTACTGATTAAGCAGCCGCTGAGTTTCGTCTACTTTGGATGTGAGAAGGTTGTTATGTTCTTGGAGCTTGGCCATTTCCTTCCGAAGGGAAATCATTTGAGCCAAGAGCTCAGCTTCCACCGTAGTCTGAATTACCGGAGGATTACCGAAGGGAGTGCTAGGGTGCAGCGCGGGGCTTGCCCCGCTTGGCATTCCGTACGGTAGTCCGTCCTCGGGTAAGAACGATGGTCCCGAAGTGGTTCCCATATGTTATTTAGGAATTGTAGGTTGATTATTATCGTTTCCCATAGACGGCGCCAAACTGTTGACGCAGAAAAATGGTTCGGCACTTTCCCGCGCAACTTAGAGATGTTGGGCCTTCAGTATGCTCTGGGCCTCGGTAGGGCGTTCGATCTGCAAGATAACAAACGCTCGGTAAGACCTAGGGAACCGGTGTGGTACCGGCCGAAGGCTCTCCGATGCTTAAGTAAGTACGGAGTTAATAAGTTTGAACTACAGATCACTAGGCAGTATGCCGTAAGTTCTGATTGATTACCTCCAAGCTGGGACAGTTGTCCTCTTTTATAGGCCTTGGGAGGTGTGCAATTTGTTTAAAGTTTCGATGTGGGACTGTGGACATCAATTGTGGGACTGCCACGTGTCCCAGGGGGTGAGGTTGCCCTAATCGAGCGATCGGTAGTAATGATACCGAAGCTAGGTGCCAAAGGCTCCCATAGCTCTAGTTTGGTCCACGTGTCCGATGTTCATTGACTGTTCATTTTGGTATAAACACATACTATGGCTGATTCAACTAGATCTACACCGATTTCTTCTTCTGGAATTGTATCCGTACCCAGCTTGGTGACCCAAACCACTACGATTCCTCCAAACATCCCTCAACACTCACCATCTTCATCCCAACATTTCCCCCCTCTATCTAGACCACTGGGTGCACCAATCATGGCCACTCGGTTACCCAATACAACCATACCCACAACTTTTCCAATGCCCATGGGCAGCAACCCAAATGTACCCTTTACCACCACAAATCAAATGTTTCCCACGGGATTGCCACAGGCTGGAATACCCACATATACAAATACACCGACTGCTACTCCTACCTTTATTTTTCGATTTGGTCAACTATTTCTCATTATCAACTATTTCTTTATCTTTTACTTTCACCTAGCTATTTACCACTAGCTGTAACTCGTTATTTACTTTTATGTTGCTAAGAGACATCTTGGAAGCTGTATTTAAGCGTTGGCTGGCCCTATTTTGGGATTATGAATGAATTGAGTTTATTTTCTATTTCCCATTTGCTTTCTTTTCCCTTTTGAGATAACGAACCCATCAACGTGTCAAAGGAAGCATAAACCACCGCAAAGCATTGCAGGAGGTGGCATGCCATCTGAACCCAGCCCCAACGTAATGAATAAGTTTCCAGAAATCAGAAGAGAAGAAGTGAGAAACAGAGTACTGGATAAATCACTAAGACCTTGTTAATAAAATACTAAAGACCCAAATAATTATTAAATTAAAACTAGCTGACTCATAGTCTACCATCGTTGCATAGAGGCAAAGCCAAACCCGCAGGAACTAACAATCCTATTACATATATATAACAGCCAGCCACGTCCCAGTCCGTAGAATTTTCATACCTGACCATTCTCAGCTTTTCCTACCGTCTGTTTCCACCCTTGTCTGACATTTTCCTTTGCTCTTCCGGCTTCAATGGACACGTGGCTGTGCGTCAAGCGAGCCATTAATTCCGCTGAAAAGGCGAAGAAGGCTTATGAAGACGGCAGGGCGAAAGTTGCCGAGGCTGGCAAGGCCATCCAAGCTCAGGCGAACTTGGCGAATGACATGCAAGCTGCCGAACGGAAGGTTAAAGTTTATCAAGCCAAGCTCGGTGAGTGTTGGTCCGGCGCAAATCTAACGGCCTGGCGC